AAAAAAATTCTCAATAAATTATTTTAATATTTTCTTCATCATCATAACTATGATGTGAGCACTTAACAAATCAAATTGCACCGAGAGTCATTTATAAAGGTATAACTATGTCTTAAAAGTTGTCTTCCATTTATCATCTAGATGAATTGCAATTTGATAATAGTTACTTTTGAAATCAAAATTGCAAAATAACTTTTATGCACATAATATGGCATGCTCATCACCTAATTTCAAAATTAAAGGTTTATATTTAATGGTAATCTACTTAATAGCTCCATTTACAATATACATATCTCAATTTTCATTTAATAAAGTAGTAATTGAGGATGTGATTATACTTTCTCCAATGTTCATTCTCTAACAACACCTCTATTTTTAAGTTCAATCATTCATCACACAACCACCAATTACCCAAATTAGCTAATGTACAATTTCAACCCAAAACTATATTCTAAATTTATGGCTCTAAGAGGTTAACAACTGATTACAACAATCAGCTCTCTTTAGTGATTAAGTGACAAGTTTTTTATAAATATTATGAAGGATTTTATTATAATTATTTCTAGATAAAGATGTTGCCTTAAAATGTCTCTAGAAGTTCAATGATGAAAATAATAATAAAGATTTGATTCTTAGTGTCATATTTTGTGAAAAGTTTGGCTAAATGTAGAAGACATATTTACTTTGATCTGGTTGAAGTTCTCATGAAGGTTGAATTAGTTCTTTGACTTGTTGCCTTTTTGTTGTTTGATTGATATAGAAGACTACTCAAATTTGCATAAGCATTTTTACATAAAATATCAACAAGATTCTTGAGACGATAAATTATATATCATCAAGATGGTTTTTCAAATTAGTTAGCTATTCAAGAAGTGTTTAATTTATAGATGAGTTATATTTAAAATAATCTCTTATTTTTTATTATTAATCGATGTATAAACTCTAAAATAAGTCATAAATTCAAACAACAACAAAAATAGCATAATATGAAATTTAAAAGTTTACATATCCTCTTAGAGAAAATAATGTGTTATCATCGAGTGCCAATGTGTACATTTGAAGGTAACCAATTTTACTAGTTTTAGCTAGGATATGTTATCCTTGAAAGAAAATTGATAATACACACCAAAATAAAGTAGTGATTTAACTATCAAAATTTCTCTAGATTGTCTCAAACATATCACTGTAATTAAGTGGACACTAAATAATGGTTTCAATATGTAAAATTATATTTAAATAAGATATTATACTTAAAATCATATTCAAAATAATATTCATTGGTATTTAGAAAATCTAAAATGGTAGCATAAGTAGTTCGAATTGAATCAATTAATTCACTACAAAGATATTCAAAACTAATATGTATCATCGTTATTGTCTAGTGTATTAGGTTAAATGTTATACTCATATGTTACCTTAGGAATTCACATTGCTTCTAAAGGGTTAATTATTAACCTTCCACAATGACAATGATAAAATTTCTATAGTAATACATAAAGTAAATGTTGACAATTTCTATGGTAATAATTTTTGAGTGATAAAATTAATCAAATTCTAGAATTCAATATTATTTGATTCACATGTATTTTTTAAATTCTTATTTTGATAAAATTTCATTATTAATTTTATTTATTTGAGAATTTATATTCAATTAAATTAATATTTATGCATAAGAGAATATTTGTCTATGAATCAATTTCCTGATTGATAAGTATAATTCTATCTTTTGTTTGGTCTTATGTCAATTTTCATCATCCAAAAAAAATGCATCTAAAATTGAAACATAGCAAACTCAATATGACATTGATGTCCCTAAAGATGATCATAAAATCACTTTGCACATTTTCTATTAGTCTTATGTATAAGTTTTGAAAATTTGCTGGCATAACTCAATTTTGTTACGAACACAAATAATTCACACTTTTCATTCAAAATGTCGAGGAGTAACATTACTTTCTTCTATTTCTACTTAAGACTGTTTGAAAAGTCATTGTCTTTTATTGAATATAAATAAATCTCTAATTTTTTTATGAAAGATACAATTATTGTCTCCACATTGATGAATAAGGTTGACATCAAATTTTCATGTTATATTGAATATAATATGGCATACATACAATTAAGTTTTCCTTCCTTAATTATTTTGTATCCAACTAATTTTACATGGATGTGAGTATTTTTCTTTGTTCAGTCTTAATTTTCATACTATAGTTTATGAAATAATACTTTCACAATCACTAAAATCAAATGTACCATCATATATTTTCTTATTGATAGTGCATCTTCGTTGATATACATTATGTTGTTGGAGATATTAGTATTTCTCCATTAAATGAAACTTCTTACACTCATTAATTAAGAAGTAGTTCTCCATTGTCAAAATTGGTGACGTTCTTTTTCTTATTGATATTCTATCTCATCATTCTCTTTTTCATCAATTGGTTATGTGAAATTCATTGCACCACAATTTGACCAAATATTTGATTTGTCTTTCTTCACCATATATGTAGCATTTAGGAGAAGCAAGAGGCATAATTATTCTTAGGTGTAGAACATTATTCAATTGATTCTACTTTGCATTATTTGGTGCAATAATTAATTATCATCCATTGTTTAGTGGTTGAAACAAAAGTGACATCAACTAACCTTGATCTGACTTATTGAAAATGTGAGATATTAATTGAATTTTGAAATCTAATTTATCTCTTTTCTAACAATTATTTTATGTGTTCATAAACCATAACAAAAACATTTGACTTAAAAAATAATTGTGATGCTACCTTCCCTTTAATATCACATTAAACACCACTTATAAATACGAACATCGTGTCTAGCTTTCATTATATCAAATAAAGTAGTAAACATAGTATATATAAGTTCTATACATACTACAAAACATATATATTACTTTGCCTACAATTTTGATATTACTAATCTATGACTCAAACAAAGTGTGTTCATAATCAAGGAGAAGAAATCAAGATTTGAAAATTTTCTTCATTTTATCTCAAATGTAAATTGGCTCTAGTTGATTGCATAGAGATCCAACCATATAAATTATTCACCCTTTAATTTATATACAACTAATTTTACTTAATTTTTATCACTTATCTTTATGTATTTGAAACATTTATAATTTTTTATGAGATATAGAAAATTCTTATATTATCAAATTAAATTTAGTGACAAGCAAATCAATTTCACATGAAAATATATATATTGTCATCATCTTCAGATCTACTTATGGAATCACTTGTTCCATTTGATGAAACCTTTTTTATATGACGTTTCAAATCATTTTATTTTAAACTATTCTAGATACATAAATGATGTTTCAATACAATCAAGTGGGATAATATCTGATTTAAGGTATCATTTATATCTTCAAATTTAAGATTCATATGCTCTTAAAAATAAATAAAAAATTGTTTGAGACAAGTAGCATGCCATAAACTTTATCCTTATTAATTTATATTTCATTGCCTTGAGACTTCTTCATAGATAAATATGGAATGAGAACTCTTGCTCTAGTACCAATTGATGTAGTGAGAGTTGTATAGAAAATATTTTTTTTATTTGAATCCACAGAAAGGGTGAATTACATAATATACTGAATCTACAAAATTGTAGTCTTCAACTCTTTAATACAAAAGAGGACAACTTTAAATCTAAAAAATCAGAAGAAGTTTACTTAAATGCACAAGGAAAGTAATTGAAGCCATAAGAAGAGAGATCAAATCTCAAAATAGAGGAAATTTCCCAAGTCCCCGAGGGAAACATCCCACTTGTGAATCAGATATTGAAGCTATAAATGATATAAACTTAGCCTATTTAATGGCCATTAAATAGGCTAAGTTTATATTAAGATGCCCTTGATGATGGTGGTGGTTCTATTTTAGTGGTGTTTTAAAATATATTTATAGTTTTTTAAAATGAAAATAAATTACAAGTGAAAAAAACACCAAAAGGAAAACTAGTTTTTGTCACATTTTATTGTGGGCCATAACAAATATTGGGCCATCTAGTACTTGTTCTATCTTTACATTTTCAGGAATTCTAGTCCTCTAGAGAAGGATTGTGGATGGGATACATCAATATGCCATTAAATAAATTATGAAATGAAATTATATATTTTTATAATAAACTATGCAAAGAAAATGTGACGGGCTTTTATTTTTAATGAAATGATAAAATATAACATATATGTATGATTAATGTGTGGCCATGTTGCATCAAAGTATGATTGTTCATGAATTTGGACATCATTGCCCTTAAAAAGGGAGTTGAAGAACTCTTTTGAGGTTGTGTTATAAAACTCACTAAACCTAGCTTCCAATTAGGTCTTTCATGTTTTAATTTTATTTGAGGCCTAGAGTTTGAAATTTGGGTTTCAGACTTGTGCGAAATAATATTCAGTATAGGGTAGGAAAATGGGATATGTAGGCCATGTATACATCCCATGTTATGCAATAATGGACATTTGGTATTTTCATATGAGAGTAAAAGGGAGGGGGGGGGGGGGCTTATGTTGAACAATTGATTATAAGCCCCTCAAAACATTATTATTAAACCACACCCATCTCCATCTTGACTTTTCTGGATGCTGAAGGCTCTCCTTTCCCTGAATGTTGGAAATTAGTTTTAAAAAATACATGGAAAAAATTATCTCAAGAAATTGATGTTAATTATGTAAACAAAGTCACTTGAATAAAATAGGCCCTTATCAATGTCTAGGGCTTATCATTAATTCTCGTAATTTCTAATATGTCCTCAAAAAAGAAGAAAATACAAGCATGGTCCTTATTCTCAGTATTCTTATTGTAAATTGTAGTGTTTTAAGAGGAAAAAAACAGTAAAAATATTAAGGGCTTAATAATAATAAATACACATAAGGGAGGAGAAACGAGCCGCATCGGTGGTGTCGTCCCTACGATCGAGCGAACACCCACGCGCACAGGCGACGACGACCAGGAGGATTGCGCAGGAACCGGCAGGGAAGGATGACGGAGGCGGCGATAAGGAAGAAGCCCGGGATGGTGAGCGTCAAGGAGATGCCGCTGCTGCAAGACGGACCGCCTCCAGGGGGCTTCCCACCCGTTCGCTACGCGCGTAGGATCCCTACTAAGGGGCCAAGCGCCGCGGCCATTTTCTTCGCCACCTTTGGGGCATTCGCCTGGGGCATGTACCAGGTTGGCCAGGGCAACAAGATCCGCCGGTACGCTTCTTCCTATCGATGCCTTACTCACTTTATGCCTGCTACCATTAACCTGACCTGTTCATTTCGCTCCGCTCCTATTAGTGGGGGTTGAATTTATTATGTCTCACATTTCCCATTTCTCCCCGACATTTGATTATCGTTGAATACAGATCATCAGTTTTTTTCTGTTGTTCATCCGTTGTTTGGTGTTTTATTTATCTTCCGATGCTTTACGGGGAAGGACGAGGAGATTGTTTGGGATCCTTCAGAGATCTCAGTGTTGTTTTGATACTATTGGTGTGTTGCAAGTACGATTTTGTTTTCATCCTCGACTGCATTTTTGTCCTCTCCCATTTTTTTGTTGAATTCTGAAGTTTGCTTTCTATTGTTTGCGTGCAGTAGTCTTCGTTTTACCGTCCCTGCCTTCTTGTTTTCTCATTTTAACGTTTCAATCCAGTATCCCTTTTCGAGCTTTTCTTTCCGTAAACTTTGGGTTTCAGGACCAAAACTGTCGATAATTGATTGGTTTTTTTAGTTTGGCATTGTAAATTCGTTTTAAGGTTACATTTGTGGTGGGGCTCATGCTTAAAGGAATTTTCTTTAGGTTGGTAGTTTTTGTAGCTGGTTAGGTATTTCCCTCAGTGAACTAACCGGTTTTCAGTCAACTCGTTACATTAAATCAGCTATGGCACCACCACAATTCAGGGAAGAATATGCAGTGGTAGACTCTATGGATGAGGAATTTTTTCGAACGGAAGCACAGAGAATGTGTGGATTGAATGGTGTTTGACAAGTTTTAACTGCCACTGAGGGCATGGTCCGCCTTTGATTATATTGTATACCTAAAGTGATGCAGAGAGAGAGAGATCATGTAGATTGCATGCTGCAATAGCGTCTATGGATGCCTTCATTCAAGCTTTCATTACGCTCGCCATTAATAGGAAACACTTTGAGTCAATCAATACATTTTGAAGCTGTAACTGTTCTCTTATGCTTCTGGCGATGGAGTGAGGAGTTAGGTTCATTCTTGTTTATTGATGTCGTTGGTAAAAGTTCAGTAGGATGCCTCGTAGGCCATTCATTTTGCCCATGATCCCATCTTACTTCCTAAGTCTGTATAGTTTTTTCCATTAGTGCTTGATTTTTCTTTGGAATAAAGAAAGGGAGCAGCATTCAGCAGTGTTTGTATGTAGGAGTAGACCACTTTTGTATGCACATTGGCTCGATTCTTGAGGTTTAAAAAGAGGAGGAATGTGGGATTAATGGATTTGGTTTATTCACATTCGGTATCCCATTCATCTGACGTCAAAAATTACAGAGGAAATGATCCCTCCCCTCTGTAAAGGAGAAAAAAAGGGGTTTCGGTGTTGAGGAGTAGTTGCAGGAGAGTTCCTACGCTGCTCTTCTACGGGAGCGCCAGCCTCATGATAAAGCATTTCTAATTGAACACACCCATGATTCCCTCCCACCATCGAACATCATTATTAAATTCTCTCTCTCTCCCTCTCTCCCCCTCTTCCTCTCTCTCTTTCTCCTTCCCCACATTCTTGCATTAGATGATGAGGCATCAAAGATTTGCAAGGTTCTTATTTTTCCGTTTGAATCCATGTGGCTGTGCCATTTCTTGGCGTTCCTTTTGTTTCCATTTTATTGTTTTTGCTCCTGAAACAGGGTTCCTTTTCAGTGACCTTATATGCAGACTTGTCATTCCACTATGATCACACGGGTTTCTGTTCATCTGTGAGATCTGAATACCTTTGATTCTGCCCTCTCATTCTCAACCTTCATGCCCGTTTCCCAACCTTACTAAAAGACTTGAAGGGAGAAAAAAAGGAAATATTTCCCTTCTATATCCATCATCAATCAGGTTCCTTGCAATCCCGATTCCTGTACTGTTTTGATCTTTACCAAGCATGACCATGCGTGAGCCTGGTGATGAGTCTGGTTATCAGATTTGTAAGCCCATGTGGAGATTGAGCATTTAGCACCTGTAAGAGCTTAATTCTTGCCATTGGATCGATTGTCGCAACTCCGAAAAACAGAGGTTGGTAAATATTTTCTTACATATGGCATTATATACGTGAGGATATGGCGTAAATACAGGTTCAATATAGCTCAGGTTCAGCTCCTTCAGGGCGGCGGATCCATAAGAATTCACCTATCCCTAGAACAAAGAAACCTGACTTGAACGATCCTGTACTAAGAGATAAATTGCCTAAAGGAATGGGACATGATTATTATGGATCCCACCTTGCTAAAAGGATTAAACGAAGAGAAAAAAGGAAATATTTCCCTTGCGATCCTGAGTCTTGCACTGTACTGATCTTTACCAAGCGCGCATGAGTCTGGTGGTTTGAATGCTGGACAGTGTCAGTTTGGCCAGTCGATCTCTTGGATTGGGTCTTCTTCTGATCACAGCCTGGCCTCCAGGAAATTATCTTTTTATCCGAACTTAAAATCTGGTTTTTAATAGGCAGCGTCTAGTATAAGAGACGTTTGCGGTTCAATCTCGTCTTGAAACTAATACTAAAAAAACAAGGCAATAAAAACCCATTTTCTCTTCGTTTCCTCAGTAAATAACCCAGAAACGAGATTTTATAATGATTTCTGATCTTGTTGCATTGACTCGCAGAGAGATCAAGGAGGAGAAATATTCCGCCAGGAGAGCCATCCTCCCCATGCTTCAGGCCGAAGAGGACGAAAGGTAAAGAAAGCTCCTTCTCTGTCTAGTCCGCTCCCTCCAGTGAAGGACTTCATGTCCCCACCATCCTCCTCTTCTGCAGGTTCGTCAAGGAATGGAAGAAGTATCTGGAAGAGGAGGCCCGGATCATGAAGGACGTGCCCGGGTGGAAGGTTGGGGAGAACGTCTACAACTCCGGCCGGTGGATGCCTCCGGCGACCGGGGAGCTCCGCCCCGACGTCTGGTGAGGGAGCGGATGTCCGCCGCCAGTCCATTGTCCCCGTCATCACGGCCATGGCCGTCGGAGCAACTCCTTTCTAGTAACCTTCCCTGCTTTCTCTGTGTTGAAGAATTGTGGAAATAATGTCAGCAGATGATATTTTTATCAGTACTATGTGCACTTATTGTGGGGCTATCCATCCATATAAGCATAGCGTTCTTCCCCTCTCTAGGGGTTGCCCATGGGCCGGGTCCGAAGAAAAAGCCCAAAAACGGAAAATGGGCCGAAAGCCCCATGAACAGGAAGAGAGAGAGAGAGAGAGAGAGAGAGAGGGTGGTGACCGTTGAGCGCCGCCAAGGTTCCTTTTACAGTTGGTAAACGGCTTCCGGACATGGCTCGCGGGTGCTTCCTCTTTCTTGGGCCGCCTTTCCATGAAAGGCCCATTTGCGGTTGCCCGTTGCGGGAAGGAATCGAGAGTTTCAACACGTAACTCACCGCGTAGAGAGAGAGAGAGAGAGAGCCGGGTGTTAATTATTGGATATGACGACGTCATACTCTCTGTGAAGAGTTAGAGAGAGAGAGAGGGAGAGGGAGAGAGAAACGAGTCTTAATTATTGGGCCTTTTGCGTGTTTGTACTTCTCCTCGGGTCCGTTCGATGGTGCATGTTCCCTCCAAGCCCACGCTTCCCTCGTGGTGCAACAGCTCTGGATGGATGTCCCCCACCCGTAATGAAATGACCCTCTCTCTCTCCCCAGATCCTTATGACGTCATTTAGGAAAAAAGACAGGTCCTGTGTGTCCGTACGTGGGACGTGAGCGGAGGCGAGATACGTGTCGAATGGAGAGGCGTCCGAGACCTGCGGGGATATATAATTGAGAGTTCACATTGGATAAGGATAGCTCCCCAGCAGTTCGCCGTGTGGCGCCGGTGAAACACGAATCTCCGCCGTCATATCCGAGGATGCAGAGGATATGCAAAGGAATGCAACGTGGAACTATCATGGATGAGAGAGACATAGAGACAGAGAGCCACATAACCAGAGATGGAGTGAAAGATTCATACAGATAAAGGGTGGAGTGACAGAGCTCTCATGCATGATTAACGGGAAATGCGGAGAGAAGAGAGATGATTACGAATAATATTAGAGAAAATGAACGAGAGGGAGAAAGAGAGAGAGAGAGAGAGAGAACTGTTTGTCAACCAAGACCGCAGACCTCAAAACAGAAAAATGGCGGGGAAGCCGCGGTGGACTGTCTATTGCTGGATGCATCAGTGCGACTACCGAGCAGGAATATTGAATTCCTGGTCGTCGGCCTCCCTCGCATTTATATCAATAAATCTTCGCCCTGACGTGGTCCAAAACATTCCACAAAGATACCCCATCCCCCTCTCCTTGCTCGTCATCCGTCACGAGACCGGAGAACCCGCCCATGGCCGCCTGCACCGCGTGTATTATAACAATTTCTGGAGAATAATCGATGACGACACCAGCGAACGCCTCATTCGAAGCGTTTGAGGACAGGGAACCCCGTTCCCACCGCGAAGTTCCGCCGGGGATTCATCGAACTGATATCGAGTGGGTCGACCATCTGTGCCTTGATTGGCGCTACGTTGTACACGCGGAGATTTGATGTCGGCGCCAATGATTGGAACCTCTTTCTCTCTATCTGCATGTGTATGCATATATCTCCTCTATGTAAAATGTCTTATATGCATCATCCTCCCCTCTGTGCAAATTCCTCCTCGAGGGTTCATCTAAAGAGTCTCGAAAGCGTTAGTCATAAGTGTTGATGGGTTCCTCCAAGTTGCTAAGGATATCTGATGTCGACGCCACTCTCTTCCTCTCTTGATAGGTTCCTAGTGGCCGAAGAGATTTGATATCGACGTCTCTCTCTCTCTCTCTCTCGGGGTAGCCAAGGACATGTTCTGTCGGCGACTCTCCCTCTCTCTATCTTGATGGTTTCCTGGTAGCGGAGGAGATTTGATATCGACGCGTCTTCTTCATCAATCTGTCTCTCTTTATCTATCCGTCTATTTATCTCCTCGCACTTCTTTTCCTCACAAAAGGTGTAATATCCGATGGGGAAAGGTGGGTTGAGCGTGAGATTTCGTGTGGCCTGAGCCTTTCCAGGGTTCTTCTTCCACAAGCTTGTAGCCGCTGGCATCTTCCAGGAGATTACGACCCGGCCGAGATGTGGGGAGATAGAGAGAGAGAGAGAGGGCTGGAGAGAAATTTTAAATTGCGAGGACAAACTTCACGACCAAACTAACCCTCTGGTTTTCTCTTTACTGTTACCCCTACCCTGAGCCCTCCCTCTATATATACAATCTCCATACAGCGCTGTAAGGCCGATCTCCTACGCCCACCAAACCGCAAGAACACTGCTATCAACTCGGGGCGTCAGAAGCTTCAACCCCTCCTCCCGGCCTCCCACAACCACAGCTCTTCCAGCATCTACCCTCCCCCTTTGTCCCTGCGTATCTTCCTTCTACGCTATCCTCTCCTTCGTCCTGGAAGCGAAGATCACATGGCTCTAAGAGACATCGAGTCCACGCTTCCTCCAGGGTTCAGGTTCCACCCGAACGACGAGGAGCTTGTCTGTTACTACCTCCGCAAGAAGGTAGCCAACCAGACAATCTCCGGAGTGACCCTTGTGGACGTCAATCTCCACGTTCAAGAGCCATGGGAGCTCCCCGGTGAGCTTCTCACTCGTAGGTTCCATCTTCTTCAATGTTCTGTCGTTGTCTTCGTGATATCTTCATTTGGAGCGACCCATCATGCTGTTTCCATCATATCCCCCCTTTTTCTCCATGATTCTCCCCAATTCCTTCCGTTAGGCGACTATCTGAGCACAAATCCACGGGGTCTTAGGGAAACCAGAGACTTCGGCTGAGATTCACCGGCGTTTCTACCCAAGAACCAGCAGGATTACGCATACATCTCGTCCGGTTTCCTCATTCATCTGTTTTCACGCGCGTTCATCGAGTCTATATACCCCGGAAACCTTCCAGTTGGAGTAATTCCCTGATTAGAGAGAGACAATCAAGGAAAAAGGCCAGTGATCCTAAATATCTCTCCCCCCTTCTCAACCTTGTATGCGTTCATTCTAAGCGCGGTCCAAGAGGAAGTATTCTAAGTCACTCTTCCGTTACTATCTCGTGCACACAACATAATCTGTAAGATTTGTCACAACCCATCATTAAATACGCTATCTTCCGAATGTAGACAGCCGATCTCGCATACTTTGAAGATGAGGGTGCCCTTAGCGAACTTGTTAAACCTCGAGCACGCAACTTAGGCAGCTAAAACGTTGCAAAAGAGGTGAATCAGAATCCGATATATAGGCTCCTCGTCGTATCAAATCTTGGTGATATGTTGCAGATGCGGCCCGACTGAGCACGAACGAGTGGTACTTCTTCAGCTTCCGGAACCGGAGGTACGCGACGGGCTCGCGCGCGAACCGGGCGACGAAGACGGGCTACTGGAAGGCGACGGGGAAGGACCGGGCCATCCACGAGCCCTCGGCGGGGGATCTCACCGGCATGAGGAAGACGCTGGTGTTCTACGGCGGGCGGGCTCCCAATGGCGTCAAGACCGGGTGGGTCATGCACGAATTCCGGCTGGACAGAACCGGCGTGGCCCCGAAGGTAAGCCGATCGACCCCTTTCAGAGGTTCCTGAGCCGCAATTGCTCCACCAGAGGTACGGGGCTGATGATAGCAGCGATCATCAGTCTTATGTTCCTCGCAGTCCGCCAAAAGGCCTGGCTGCTTCCACACGTGAGAGTACCCATTAACGGCTGCGAAACAACCATCTGAGTGTTGATTTTATGTGTTCATGAAGGGTACAGTAGCTTGTTTATCTCGTAGAATTTTTACACGCCTTTTTTTAAAAAATAACTCTGTTTAAGTGCGTGATTTATATTCTAGGGCACCATATAATGCTTCGTTCATGAGCCCGTGTCGTGGAAATAATTTCAACATCAAGTAACCATCGTGTTGTTCACTAAAAAAAACCATGGATTGTGCTATTTCTCCAAAAAGCAAAGTATTTTATTCAGAAAAAAAGGGTTTAAATGGAGAAAAAAAATCACGGATTTATCAGGTTTTATGCTCGCGACTTACAGGGTTTGCAAGGTTCTCTACTGAGAAACTGGCCTGGAGTTCCTGGGTTTCTTCGGCTGTCCTGCTGGTTGTTCTCTTGACTTGTTTCTGTTTGTGTTGGCGACGACAGGAAGACTGGGTTTTGTGCAGAGTCTTCAATAAGGATAAAGAGGACACGGTGAGGGAAGACCCGGGAAACAGGCTGGACGGCAATGACTTCGCCTTCCTTCACCCGTCTGCAAACCATGGGACGACAGAAGAATACCCACATCAGCTCACCCTCTACTCCACGCATTACCACCACCAGCAGGACGCTGCCGCTGGCTATTCCGGCATCTTCAGCTCCTCCGGTCTGCGCTCCGGCCTCCTGGACTTTTCGCCGGAGATGGAGACTGAGACGGAGACGCCACTTCGTCTCGACGGCGGCAGCGGCGGCGTCTGCACCGGAGAGTTCGAATTCTTTCTGGACGCCGATCCCATGGGTTGGGGGACTCAGCCATGAGCGGTTAGAACTTTCTCTGACCTCTCCTCACTTGGATTGAAGGATAAAGACGAAGAGGAGGCCGTTGGACGTGATCACTACTGCACAGAGTCTGGTTTGTTGAAGATCAGATCTTGATCAATCAGTTCTGACCCACCACGCTATAACGGCTCTTATCTTCATAAGTTACATGTCCAGAAAGCATCCAGACGCCATGCACATTGATCCTTCGTGAAGGTTTGTAAATTCTACAGCATCTTATTCCGTATTAGAAATGGGTCGCAAGGGATGTGGTTCTCTATCTCTCTCTCTCTCTAGCCTATGTTTCTGTATCCCTCTCTCTCTTTCTCTCTCTTTCTATCTCAGGCGAGAAGCTAGGAAGTTCCTCTCCCCGGTTCCTGGTTTCTAGGGCAATCTCCGCTTTTCCAGGCACCGAGGGATGCCGTTGGCTTCATTCTCATGAAGACAGCTCTCATCTCCTTGTTTCTAGCTCGTTATTACACCTGCACGCCTCCTTGTTGAAACAGAACGATGGAGTCCAGCGGGCGTACGCTTTCCCCCCCTCATTTATTGCCGTAAACGAGGGAGAGATAGATGGATAGTTAGATAGATAGAGAAAGAGAGAGAGAGAGAGATAAAGACCAAGAGACAGGGTCGGAGATAGAAAGGGAGTGTGTGCGATGCTAGTTCTGACAGATAGATTTCTCTCTCTAGATCGTCAAGGCAATGTCAACTCTGATGGGGGGATGTTTTCCTTCTTCTTCAGTTCTGATTGAACTATGCGAAATGCACGCAGGTTGTGGGTAAAATGATGGCATTTAAATGAGTAATTTTGGTCTAATTCTGTTTAAATATATTAAAAAAAAACCGAAAAGTTCAACACAAACGCGAACCTTCTTGATCCTCCGGATCGCCTGGTCACATTTATGATTTTTTAAATATCACGAAAATCATAAAAATACGTTTTTTTAACTTTTTTGGGTTATGCAAAATCTTTAAATTTTGAAATAAATAATTACATTTATTGGCCCAGGACAGCGACCTCAAAAACCACCTTACCTAAGTTCTTGGGCCCAAGTTTGGTTGATTATAATTTATCTCCATGGGAAATTATCTAATTTTCTAAAAATATTTAGCTACCTAAAAATGTAACCCAATAACTTTGTAAGATGTCTCGTGGGTATAATTAATAATTCTGGTTTTTTGTGGGGGTTAGAATTGGCATAATTTAATGTGGAAAGCAATTACAAAGGCGAGTTTTTGAATTGGCATATGGGTGCTCTTCTTCTTTGTATGAACTATTTTATGTGCTAATAAAAAATGATCCTAGCTAAATAATTTTTGAAATAATAATATATTTCTGGTTTTTGTGCTAAAATAAATATATCAATGAGGCGGTGAGCTGTGGGAAGGGCAAGTCAGGCTCGGTGCTCAGAGAGAGAGAGAGAGATGGGCCAGTGTGTGGGTTTACAGGAGACGACCCAAGTCGGATAGGTCGATCAGGCCCATTGATCGGGTAAGGCCATTCTGGCCGTCCAATCTCTCCAGGTCGTCGATCTGACGGATGTAGATTCAGGTGGTTATCATGCGCCACATCCACCACCTTCCAGTTTCTCAGCCACATTTTCACAGTTTTCTTTTCCATTTTTTCCGAGTGAGGTGACCTAGCGAGGAGCGAGCGAGCGAGAGAGAGAGAGAGAGAGAGAGGTTAGAGGGTGAGATTCCAAATCCGGGTCCGGGCGGGAGAAGGAAGAGCGAGAAAGAGAGAGAGAGAGAGAGAGAGAGAGAGAGAGAGAGAGAGAGAGAGAGAGAGAGAGAGAGAGAGAGAGAGAGAGAGAGAGAGAGAGAGGGGGAGAGAGAGACGGGGAGAGAGAGAGGGGGAGAGAGAGAGAGAGGGGGAGAGAGAGAGAGAGAGAGAGAGCGCCTTGCTGCTGTTGCAGCTTGCTCCCAGTAGTCGCCATAAACCCGGTCACCCGTGCTCGATCGCCACCAAAGGCATCGATAAGGGTTTCCGAATTCCAGGCGGGTGGGAAGTGATGGAGCAGGGTGGAAACCCCACTGCTGCGGCTGCTTCCTGGCGCCTTCCATGACGGAAATCCCTGAATCGTGCTCGATCGCCGCCACCGTTAAGATCCCCATTGATTGGTCTCAGACGGCGGAAGCGGGCCGGTGAGTGGTCCATGGAGTTGCAGAACGCGGTAAAGGAGGCGTTGAACGCTCTCTATCACCACCCCGATGACTCCGTCCGCATCCGGGCTGATCGTTGGCTCCAGGATTTTCAGCGGACTATTGACGCCTGGCAGGTTGGCTGCTCTCAGATCCAAAGATTCTCTCCACCTCCCTCTCTAATTTGTCCTCTTTATCCTCGTATCTCCTTTCTACTTCTTTTTTGCACATCTGATTATTTATCCAGTTCTTTGCCGATACGATATATGCATAATTTACCCAAAGCGGGAATTACTCAATCAATGGTGGACTCTTGGGGTCTTATGTTTGTTGGGAATCATCGAGAAGGTGAGATAGATTTAGTGCGAATAATGAGTGCGGCCTGCACTATTCTTGGTGATTGTACATTGAGTGGGTACGTTGGCGATGATATGTAAACAACTTATGGGCACGTCCAAGGGTCTCCAAATTCGTTTGATTTGGGCAAATTCGAATGTATAATAGCCATTTTTATATTTCTCTCTCAGTTTTGGTCAAATGAACTACATTGGAAAAATTTATGATTTTTTTTTCCTAGCTCTTTTCATAAGGTGGCGTGCAAAGGCCAGTAATTATAATTTTGAGTGCATGAACTTCGAAGCAAGTTTATTTTTGGACAGTGGGAATGTGTTGACGAGAGTTATTCTGCTTAACTATTCCCTGGTCTTTCTCATTCTACCAGTGCTTCGCTAGTCTCTTCTCATCTGGAGCTTTCAGATTTCTCATAATCTCTCCGCCATATGAATTCAAAGTAAACATTGGGCTCCACTTCTTTCGTAAGCTGGCACTTTTAATTTAATTTGTTTGTTCAGGTTGCTGATAATTTACTCCATGATCCAAGCAGCAATATGGAATCTCTCATTTTTTGTTCTCAGACCCTGAGGAGCAAGGTGATATATGTTAACTTGTGAATGTAGCGTCTACTTTCAAGCTTTCTATCTGTCTAGATGTTTGAATTTGATGTCTGTGTGATTTTTAGGTACAACGAGACTTTGAAGAGCTACCTTCTGAAGCTTTCAGGCTATTACAGGAGTCCTTGTATGTGAGTACTTTCATCATAACTAGACCATCTTCTCTATGTGGGAGAACTAAATACTTTTTTATTAACAATCAGGGCATGCTTTCTAATTACATTTAGCAGAGTGATTTGATTTACATTGATATTTTTCGTTAGTGGGCCTCTCTAAACTTATAGGTGTCCATTCTCTGACTTACAACCTTTCGTTGTGCCGCTTAAAAGTTGTTGAAATTAATAGGTCTTCAAACTTTGCCCTGTGTTCATTTCTATGCCACGGTTGCTAAACTCTTTTTGTTGGCCATGTTATGCTTCCATAATGTAATCTGAATATCTCAATAGTAATAATCTTTACTTCTTCAACTGAGGTAAGAATTTACTTTTGTGACGTATTTCTTGCGATTTTTCAATCACTCTGTCTCCTTTTACATGAGGCATATTTATTGAAAGTGAGGAAAATTCTACAGCTTATATTCGCTCTTTGATATTAAGATTTATGGTGAATCATCTTCTTTCATCTCATGTTGAGCTGGTTTGGATTCATTTCACTTTTTAAATACAACTTGAAAAACTTATATTGCTTGGCTCAAAGTTGAACAGAAAATGTCTTATCTCTTGAATCTTAATTTCCTTTGGATAGTGGTATCAACACACTGACACAGGTTTTATGAAAAACCTGGAAATTTTGAGATTTTAGGAAAAACTGTGCGTTAATTGAGGGTGTCAGTGATGCCACGCAGATGATTGGATCCGGGCTTAGTCACGAAAAGAGATTCATCTTATTGTGCACATGGTTCAATAAAGGACTCGAAGAAGGAAACACAAGGACTCCATCTCCTCATTAATTGATGTACCTTAGTTATTGCATTGATATTACGTGATGAGATTTTAGTAGTTTTCATTCATATTGTCTCATTTAGCAATGCATCTTAGTTTGGATGTGTTTATTGTATTAGATTAACTATTATGAGTTTGTTGAATGCAGAAACTGCTCAAAAAGTTCTCTAAGGGACCTCCTAAAGTCAGAACACAGGTTCTTGAACTAACAATTTATATACAAGAATCTTTTTGGACGCTTTTTGTCATATAACTAAGGCAAATAAAATGTTTCTTTCAGATCAGCATCGCCATTTCTGCTCTTGCTGTACATGTCTCTAAAGAAGACTGGGGAAATAATGGGATCATCAATTGGATAAAACAAGAAATGAATACGTTTCCTGAACATATTGCCAGTTTTCTGGAACTACTCACCGTATTGCCGCAGGTACTGCTGAATAAGTTACATCCATTTCCTCTCCTTCTTGGTTTTATCATTTTTTGTTGCCTTTCTCACTTTTCTTGTTGACAAGTATTTGATTTTCTTCACCGGGTTGAGATATGGGAGAGAATTAAAAAAGAAGAGGCTAGTTCAATTGTCTACATACAAAGCTTCTGAGACAAGTTTTAAACGTGGCAATTTGTTACCATGTTGATAACCAAACTTGCTCAGGCTGGGAACTACTCATTTTCACGTGCTCAAGGGATGTTGAGGTGTCAGGTTAGAAAACGACTGCACTGTAGGACGCTGCAGCATTTAATAATCACTGTAGTAAAGGACTTCACATGCCATCCACTGTATGGCAGCATGATCACAGTTGTATTCTCAGCATTCAATACAAGTGGGATGTCAAGGATTTGACGATATGAATGTACACAGAAATAAACAATCAACCAGTAAATTCCATGGAATTCAATCAGCTGGCCAGAAAATTTTACGGTTTGAGATGTGCTAAAATGAAGAATTAAGGACCTTAATCATAAGACAGCCCCACTTATCGTAATTAAGGAGAGACCGCGCTATGTTAATTAGGATTTGAGTTTTTGGTGGATGACAAGCTGACATCCTTGACATCTGATTTTGAGGACAAGTTCATGGGGATAAGTTGTTAGGGGACAGCAAAGTGAGGCTTAGTTTTAAGTATATATATTTTATGGTATGATTAGCACATTATCATTCATAAGTTCTACAAAGAAACGTTAAAGAAAGAGAGATTTTAACTTTTTTCATGGTAGTAATATTGTTGTAGAAAAGATAGGATAAAGTTAGAAAGAAAATAATGTAATTGTAAAAGTAGAAAGTCATTTGGTAACGACTGTATTTTGATATAAATATTTAACACGAACTAATTATGCATTAGATATATACTTATGTATATCGTATGTAATACACTCATGTGATTGCATGGGAGATGATGGTCTGTGTGCAGATTGACATCTGTGCATTTTTGCTAACGCAAATGGCAGATCTCCTAGATAGCTGAGGCACCTTAGACGTCTGGGGTACTTCCCAAGGCATCACCTCAAGTACTAGGGTAGTAGCTGCTCATATTCTTCAACTTCACTTTCTTAAATATATTTTTTCTACATTTTAGATTCCCAATTTTATGCTCTGAATACCACGTCTGCTAAACTTATTTGATGTATGTAGAAACACTATAAACTTTTCAACTTGTCCTTCCAAAAATTTCACTTGAAAATATGCCAAAATTGCTTGGAAATTTTCAGCATGTGTGGTTATTTTCCAAATGAGAGATAGCTTTCATCCTTCACCGGATTTGACGCATTCAACATTATGATTTATGCCAATATGAGTTGTCTTTCCTAATTGCATCAATCATTATCATCTTCCATGTTCAGTAACTTCCTTCATTACTACCTTTTCTATATTGAGCTGACATTGTTCCAGTAGTAAGTAAAAAAAGGAGAATAAGAAATTTCCTAGTCTCAATCCCATAACGACAAGGTTCTTCATTGGTAAGAATATAAAACATAGCTGTTGAATGCACCTCATCACCCTTTTTTTACATTGTTCTTTGAGCTCTAAATATGAGTTCTATTCACGCAACTGTGTCTAATTCGATATCATATGCTTTTATACACTCACGTACATTATCTTATGAAGCAATTATGAATATGGGATCTTAGGACACTTTTTTACTGCAAACAGGAAGCCTTCAGCCATAAGATCGCAGCTCGTCCTGAGAGACGTCGCCAATTTGAGAAAGAACTCATCTCATCTGTGGAAATCGCTCTTAATCTTTTGGCAGCGTGTGTGAGGTTTGAAGAACTGAAAGAACAGGTAATTTTTACTCCAAGTTCTTAAGAATATTATTGGTCAGGGGGTATTGCTTGGCTTCTGTCATTGTCAAGTCATTAAACTTTGGGAACTAATTTACATTGTTCTATTTTTCTAAAATAGTGCATGTAACAGAACAAATTATAGGAGACAAAAGTATCTTTTTAAATCTGTCCAGTCATTCCCTGGTCTGGGCTTGTAACAGTATATATCCAGGGCAGCCTGCTTGATAAACTAATAGGTTCGTGAAATGGTAGCCAATGCTAGAGTAAATTAATTGTGGCCCCATACGTACTAAATGAAAACATATAATTGAGAACATACACTCGTAGAACACCATTTGATACAGCCTTCAGCCTCCTTTTTTACCTGTCATTTCTTTTGTTTTCAATGAATTTTAAGCTCGTGTCATCTTCTAACAATATGGATGTATAATGTAGATATGCATGTCCATCCTTGTTGACAGCATTTCAATTGGGGCCACTAGGATTTGAGGCATTGGACAATGCTGTCCAGCCAATCACTTATCTAACATTGAAGTGATATCTTATTTATTGAGTTGTTATCAACACATGTTTATTAGTATACGGAGTAGGGCCATCATTTGAAGTCACATTACATAAAAAAAGCATTTTAGATAATGGTAGCACATACTGGAATGTATTTGACCCCAGTTGATCTATATTTATTGTGCACAGCAACTGCATTGCAATGGATTAATTCGGTTTTCAAATAACACAAGCTGATTAAGCCATATTGTTCTTGGTGGAGTTTGCTCTGGGTACGAACCAATCTATCAAAAAGTTTTGTTTTGCGCGGTTTAATTCCTTGCAGATTACTTCCCAAATTGACCAGAAGTTGATTAAAGCAAATTTCAATAGATCAGATTAATGGCATATAATTTTCATTGGTTCAGACAAAAATAGACGATTCTTCCATCATTCCTACACCAAAAATTTAATTTAAAATGTACACACCTTCCAGAAAAGTGTCGCAACTTATTCTTTTACTGTTTCGGCCCGTCTTTTTGTAAATGACAAATGTGCTGTAGTAAATTATTTGGTCAATTTTTTCTTCATTATCACAGCTTGCTTGGGATGTCCATTTTGTGTTGGAATCTTTTTGGTGGTGGCCAAGACGTGTTTTTATGGCAGCTGTTATCTATTTTACAGTAGTTGTCGAACAGTATGAATTAATTGGCCCTCATTTTCGTATTTCTTCCATATGCATCCCTAAGGTACAACATGCCTATGCTGCTGTTTACTCCAACTTTGTGAAATAAGAAAATCGAAACTTGATTTAGTTTTCAGCAGCATTTATTCTTTAGGCATGTTAATAGAATACGAAGGCATTCCATTGTTTTTGTTTTAGGTTTTCAGGTTTTGAGATATGTAGAGTCTTGGGTGTTAATAGATGCCCTGGGAAGATTTGAGTATGTGCAACTTTCTTATATATGTTTAGCCCTGTCAGACCCATCCTTTGATTTGTCAGTTTGATAAACTTCGCATGTGCGGTGGTAAAATATATCTAATGTTAAATATGTTGGCAGGTATTGGAAGCATTTGGTTCATGGCTTCGGTTGAGCAAGGGGTCAGTACATCTTATCCGAACTTACCTCAGCTTTTGTCCTTTTGTCCTTTTTCATCATACGGGACTTAACCAGGACATTTTTCATGCCTTTAACATGAAATAGTCTCAGCTTCAATAAAATAAATGAGAGGAAATATGTTTGCTTGTTTAAGTAGAATATAATACCGTTTGTTTATGACTACACATTTGATAGCAGTGTTGTTACATTAAGAAAATACGTCTAAAACTTCCTATGTGTGTTATTCTGAGAAAACAGCTATGACCCGTTATTTTTTTAATGCTGCTGTGTTACAGGATTCCTGCATCCACGCTTGCATCCCACCCTTTAGTCCACGAAGCCCTTCATGCACTAAAGTCTGAGCAGCTTTTGGAGCCAGCAGTAAATGGTAATCGGAAGAAAATTTCTATATATTCACATGATTCTTTTCTGATTTTAATTAAGATATTTGATGCAACTTTAAGTAACATTCGGTACATATTGTGCTTTGTTGGATCCTCGTCAGGCGAAGAGAAATGTATAAAATAAACCTCAGCCATCACTCTTGAAATTTCGAATATGCTGTCTCACATAATTCTTTAATTCTTCTCTGCCGTTCCTTCTAGTGTTTATGTCATTTTCCTTCTCCCCGTGACCCTTTAAAAAATAAAATTCGTAGCAATAATTTTGCTATATTTTATTGAACTTTGTTCTATCGTTGACCTTCTTTTCCCCTCCTTTTCAGTTGTATCTGAACTAATACACTTCACTGCATCACGAAACACTGGTGGGTTATCTGCACAGATCCCGTTGATTCATGTACTTGTGCCTCATGTTATGGATCTGATGGAGCAGCTGCGGGATACTTCCAAGGTACCGAACTGCAGAATTTGCTGTCTGAATTCTTTATTTGTGCTTCATTCTTAGATAGGTCGCTTGTTGTATGCCATAGATAATTAGTATCTGGGCAAGTCCCTTATATGGAGCGTGATCCTGGTCTTTTTGTCTGGCTTACCGAGGGGCTATGGCCAATGATTGAGTGGTTGTCGTGGCTGGCAGCTGCTGCTATTGGCCATAGAGTGGGGGGCTCTTCTTCATCCGTTTTCGTCCTATTTTCCTGTTTTGTTGCTCTCCTTTCTTTTTGTCCCTTCTTTTTTTTCGGTTCCATCCGTAGTGGAATTTCTATCTCAAAACGTCCAACTTCTTACATAATGGTGTTTCGACTCTACTATTACTAATTTTTTATGGTGTTTTTCTGTTTTATCAAACTAATGGGAGTCCATGGATACCTGCACATGACAACAGTAGTCACTGGAGTACGAATAAATATTTAGTTGATATTTATGTTGATGCAGCACCCGACTGTTTTGAGGGTAATGATCCTTTTTCCTAGATAGAGGATTGTGCGCACAAATATGTATCAAATGAGTGCCTGTTTACGGCTGGACAGTGGGATATCCACAGATGAAGTTGCGTTACCAGTAGCTCTATGGTCATATGAACTGGCCATAAATCCTTTGGTTTATATAATAAAATAATAAACTTGCTATTTGTTTATTGATTTTCATTATAACACATCATTGAGCAGGCTTCCAATATTTTCAGTGATGCTTTAAACGCATCATTCATTGCATACCTTCTGGGAGCTTTAGTATTTTCTTAGATAGATATCTTTTAGAAAATGATGGGGCAGAAGAAAATTTCAACCTTACGATTAACATGTTCTGTCTTCATGCTATCTCCTTTCGAAACACAATTATGATAATATCTCTCTAGTAGTCTTATTTTTTTGAATTATTATGTGTTTTATCAGGGTGACGAAGATATAAAGGCCATTGCTCGTTTATTTGCGGATATGGGGGATTCATATGTAGAGCTAATTGCAACTGGTAACTTTGCGCTTGCGGAAGACTGCCTTTTTTAATTTTACCTTTATGTCAGTGTTTAAAAGAGATGCTTTTCAGGTTCCAATGAATCTATGCTAATTGTACGAGCATTACTTGAGGTTGCATCACATCAAGAATATGACATTTCTTCTATGACATACAACTTCTGGCATCACCTCCAGGTTAACTTGACTAAAAGGTGATCATTTCACAGTAACATACAAACCTGTTTTCTTCGACCTGGATTGTAACAGTCATTCTGAATGCTTCAGTGATTCCTATTCATCATTTGGATCTGAAGCACTAGCAGAAGCAGAGAAGAACCGAAGAATTCAAGCCTTCTGCCCAGCATTTGAACACCTTGTCTCACTGGTGAGTTTTCATCTCAGAAGGCTTCTAGTTTTGCCATGGCTGCTCGATTGCGTCTTGTGACATCCATTTTAGCTGATGGATTAGGGAAGGCACATACGACTGTTCTGTTGGTTTGCTCAATTTCTCTCTAGCTATGGAGATGTGAGATTTCAAATTCTGTCTCTGGTGCAGATTATTTCTCGGGTTCAATATCCAGAAAATCATCAGGAGCTCTCAAAAGAGGATCTGAAGGATTTTAAGCACAGTAGATATGGTAATTATGACATTCAATGTTGACTAAAAATCTCGTCTTTTTCATAGCTTGATTTACTGTTGATTTTTCGGCTCCCCATTTGATAAGCGTTTATCAAAGCTTCTATCTAGAATTCAAATAGTCATTGATGTATTTTCGAGGTTTCGTTACTATTTATTTTTTGCTATTTCAAACCCAGCATTTCGGAGGTGTTTCGCATTCGTTGTTTTATAATAAAAGCGCTTAGCTTTGGCATCTCTTGGAGTTACTCGTTTCTCAGTTTGAAACGGGTTTAATTAGATCCCTAAACGGAGTAGAATTATGCAATCCCTACTTAGAAGTGTTTTCTTAAATATGTGGGTACGCATTTTCATATTTAATTTATTTTTCTTTGACATTAGATCAGTGTGTTCTGCTGCAAAAAATGGTTCATATCTCACATGCTTTTATTTATTCCTGATGAGTTCTGACATCTGAATCTTTGGCATGCTGATTGGTCGTCACAATGCTAGCTGCGAGTGATGTGCTAACAGATGCAACTGCCGTTTTAGGAGCTGAAGCAGTACTAAAGATTGTCTTCTTAAAATTTATGCAGGTGATGGTAAAATACCTCGGAAATAATTTTTTCTTGTTTTTTCTGCACTTATGCCTGGTGTATATGTAAAGTACTCTGGACATATATATTACGCAAACCATACAGGGATAAACAGTCGGGAAAAATCTCTTCTATTAATCAAATCATAGAACAATCGCTAGTTATATGCAATTACCCCGGCCGCAGAAAAAAGGAAGATACCTAGGTTAAGGAAACTGATCAACTTGGAAACTGACAAACTAGGAGACTTCTCTCAACTAGGAAATTAACACCTAATTACTCCTTTTTCCTACAATTCCCCTCAAGATGGTAAATAGGCATTCTCCATTCCCAATCCAATACATGGAATTGGTCTAGTATGAGTTATTGATTCTCATTGGCCAAACAATTCAACTGATATCAATAGAAGCTAACATTTAGATAAAATGGTAGATTTCGACTGGGTCTAGTGTGAGTTGTTGATTCTCATTGGCCAGAAAGTTCAAATGATATCAATAGAAACTAACATATAGATAAAAAATTAGAGGTTTAAACACCCAAACGGAGCATAAATATCATGCATACTTGTTTGATTTCAATACGGTTGCAATTTGGGTAAACATATGGTGAACGCATTGACTACTTAGGAGACATACTAAAATTCTTGTAAATCCTTCTTCTCCTTGATAAACTTTCGATTTGTATCATGAATTAGGCTGTTATTTGTACTTCTACTGACTTATTTGTATGACACACGTTTAGAAGGAAGATGGATTTTGATTTCAATGTCTCATATAAACATTATTAATCAGAAATGTTCAATTAGACAGTGTTATGACATTGTACTAAGCTTCTACATTTGACTGCACAAGTTTCTTGCTCACCATGTGATTAAAACACATCACATACTTTCTTTGATCTATAATCCGTTTATTTGATTTATCAATTTTAATACTGTAAAAGTACTTTAAATTATTAAGACGACTTAAAATTTCTTGGCAAGTTTGATCTTACTATTACCTATGATCCATATAGACAATGAGAAGGTTTAGTTTTCAATTTTGTTTATTTGTAACTAAGGTATGGTCATCTTAAACCTATTAAAATGGACTATTTTGGATAATATGAGGTTTTCCTCCATCAGTATGCTTTTCTTTAGCGTATGTATCCATTAGGACAATTTATACAGACTTCGTATGATAGATCCCCATTCCAAAAGACATTCCTCGCTTGAATTTATTGATGCAAGGTAGTAAGTGAAAAAAGACAACCCCATTTGCATTAATTTTGAAAAATTTGCTTGATAGTCGAGACACTGGTTTCATGTAAACCCTCTTGCCATAAGTCTTGCCTTGAACTTGTCAATAATACAATGTGGTAGTTTCTTGTTTGTGAGTAGGAGGCAATAAGCTTCTTCCCTTGAAGAAATTTTATCAGTTTCTAATTTTTACTTTTTCGCAGAGCTCTCTATTTTCCCATTTATTACATGCAACCACTTAGTATTCTTTATAGTTTTTAGAAATAGATCAGAAAATGAAGTATACATAAATGAAAGGTATGATAGTAAAAGATGCGTATAAAAACTGTACTTGGATATAAGATATTGGTCCAAGTTCTACATTTATGAGCGTAATAGAGGAATTTGTTTCTTCTTTATTACAAGAGGAGATAGCATTTTCTTACTAGGGGTTTTAAGTAGGATAAGCTCTTATATTTTTCCTCATAGAGTTCATAGAGTTGGTCATCAATGATTTTTCCTTGAGATCACTATGTAATTTGTCGCTGAGATTTTTAATGTGGTTCGTTTGCTGCATGAGTCTTAATTAAGTATGATTATAAGATGGGATGACACAAGAGTCGAGTATCTTCCTGACTGGGAGACTCTCCCTACAAATGGCCTATTATGGAATAATAGTACTACTCGATTTTAATAAAGGTGACATCTTTACACTTCTTTCCTACTTGTGAGTGAAGATATTCATACCCTATGAAAAGAGGAGAGTGTCTAAGAAGGATATACTTTTTTAATCTTAATATCAAGTTTGGAATATCCAAGTTGAAGATTGGTACGACTCCTTCCTCTAGCTGCAAGAGAAGGAACTGGATATGTATTCAGCTGGATCAGTCAATAAACAGGGTTCCGCAGAACCCTAACAGAACTTGGGATGTAGTTTGAGAGGCTTCCCCTTCCCTCCACAGCTCGACCAAGCCCTAGAGTCCTGTTCACCAAAAAGATCTCCCCCTTGTATGTTCGAGTGTCCTTAATAACCTACCCATACAATGATCTATCTGCCTTCGGTTATATGTCTTCATCGGAACCTTATCAAAGACATTGAAAGATATATATATATATATATATATATATATATATATATATGTATATATGTATATCGAGAGAGAGAGAGAGAGAGAGAGGACCAAAGGGTCCCCAAATTACTAGGGAAAAGACCAAAAAAACCAGTTGCGTTACAAAGTCCATGTACTCGAAGGACCAAAATGCCCCTCGAGTACACAGTTCAAATTAAATCTTATAACAATAGGCTACTGTCGATTCACCTGTTTTTTATGCTCAGCTATTTCCTTTGATGGAAGAGTACAAGGGTGTGGATTCTCATGCATAGCGCTTTCAGTTTTCAGAAAAATATGCAGCTATTTATCTATATATTCCTTGCCATTACGGATTTCGTATTGATTTTTGTTCATTCTGCGAAGATACAGATGTTTGTGAGGAACCTCCCTGTTTATCTTCACCGAATAAATCATGGTATACTGAATAAAGTCATCAACGAAGTAAAATATTGAAAATTATCCAGTAACAGTTGGGAAAATCTCCACACAGTGGAATGAACAAGATGATCAGAATAGGAACTATTGATATTAGTTAAGGAGAACGAGTTCCTGCAATATTTATAAGTGGGACAAGCATAACTTTTAAGAGATTCCAGGATAGAGATGTTACAGATATTTCTCAGTGATTTGGACTTGGTATCACAAGTGATTCTTTAACTCTTAAAGCTCGACTGTACTCCAAGTGAGAGATAGTAGAGTCTTGGTTCACAACCACTCCCATTGCCTCATCTACAGGGTTCAAAAGATAGAATAATGTCGAAAGAATTTAAAGTGTTGGGCGCTTTAATGATTCTTTCAGATTACTTAGAAAGAGTATGTTCATGCAGAGATAAAGAATTTGAAGAGTAGGGGACAAGGCCACCGTTTATCAAGATAAAAAATGGCCATGTTGCCAAATTTTTCTTGATAGTCATGTGCACAGTTGCTTTTCCTCACCCAAAACTCAAGGATATGAGATAAAATTCGTGTCATCAGGTCTTATGTTTCAATAACTCTAGAGAAACTGCTTGAGTTGTTAGTGACTTTTAATCCGGTTCCAATTAGATATTGACTGCATAGATGTAAATGTAGCGATATCTGGTCATTAAAAGATCTTCTATATTTCTTGCAATTCCCTATGTGAGAATTTTTTTTGTGAGTAGTATCGCCTCCTTGAATAAAGAAACAATGGGCCCTGGCGTCGGTGTGCTGCCTATGAGCAAGGCCACATGTCTTCTTGCAGAATGATCGTTTTCTTTTCTTAGATTTATCATACTTCTTAAGGTGTTTCATAACTATTCGTATTATATGAAAGAAACAATGTCTAGTGCAGAAATACCAAAGATAAAGCACAGTAAAAGAACCCAGAACAGATGGAGGGTCACATACAACCTTCCAACCCTTTCTCGTAGATGCACAAGATACTAACACCGATTTTTCTTCCCCGTCTCCATCCTGATCCGCCCATCCTTATATCCTCTCCTTTCCCTCTCTTATTTTAGCTGTTAGTCTCCTGCCATAATTGCTCTTCCACAACCGCCCTTTGCCATTACTGTTCCTTGTCATAACTGTGCCTTCCCTCAACCATGCTAACTGTTATTGACTTATTGGGCTTTGGGCCTTCTTCCTTTTAGCATGTGTGTGTGGAGCCTTATCACAGGGCCATATGTCTTCTTGTAGAATGGTCGTTTTCTTTTCTTGGACTTATCATACTTATTAATGTATTTCATCTTCTACTATTTTCTCGCCACAATGACTGTGGAGTCATATACTCTTTCCTTATTCCTTGTTGACCATATTTCCTCAGTTGAAGTTGGGGCATGATTTTCTGAACAAGGACTGATGATTCCACTCAAAAATTCCTTTTGCCTTCTTCACCAAGGACCTTAGAGAAATCCTCTTGAAGGATGGTAGGCCATCCTTTGCAAGAATCTTACTCTTCAAACTGTGAATTCTGGATTTAATCTACCATGTAACTGAAGTTTCTGCTTTTCTGTATGTAGTGTAGATGCTGCTTGTGGTAAGCCATTGAATCCCAATTAGAAACTGCAAAACAATCAAGGTCTTCCTATTTACCTTTCATTATCCAAAAGTATGTAATCACAGGAATACTACATCAATTGACGAATATCCAGTCTGAGGCTAGGTGATGCAAGAAGTCGAATTCTGATGTTTTTGAAACCACTTGATACACATATTTTCACCCAATGCCTCACAACCAGGGGGATGGTGTTTACGGCCAGATTATGAGAAAGTTTTGTACGGAGCTATATGACTGAGCCTAAATCTCCACAGTGCAGCCCAACCTGGATGATGGTAGGAGGATGACTCTGTAGATCTGGATGATTATAAATGAAGGGTTCAGTGAACTTTCTTTGGCTCTGTGGAGCTAATACACAGACAACCCTGGAACTGATGTACGAGGAAGATCATTTTCTGTCTCCTTAACTGCCAGACAAGGGCAATTCTTTATACAGCATATAGTCTTATACATGTATTGGGTCCGGTATAAGTTATCGGGTTTGATTGACCCGATAACTCAACCAATGCCCTGTTGCATAAAAGAATAGGATGGAACGGTAGATAACCTCAACTATACTTCACAGTAATTCCTCAATTGTTTGCCTTTGCTTTTTCCTAAGGTGAATGACCTTTTGTTGAAAATAATGTTTGGTAATAAATAGTACGCTGCTTTTGGGCTTCATACCTGTCTTATTTTAAAGAGTTAGCTTGTTTCTTTTTCTACCTTGTGATTTTTTTGACGTCTTTTACTTCAATCTTCTGGTTTTCCTTGAATCATCAGGCAGTACCCAGTTGTAGAAAGAATGTTTGCGAGTGGCAGCCAGTGGAAGCTTCTCTTTACTGTATGCAGGCTGTGGCTAAGTCTGTTCCAGTTCTAGAAGGTGAAATGATGCCTCAGGTATAATGGAGCTCTTCTGGATCACCCTGTAACACTTGGTATTAATTATGTATTGGAATTACATATGCCTATCATTTTTTGTGGATTGCTTCATAAGGTTAAGGAACCTTTTTTTTTCTGTGGATTGAATGCCCCAGCTGTTTACGCTCATGCATACTTTCTATGACGGTTTAACCAATTTTATTAAATACGCTGCCCAACTTTTCCTGTTTTGTTATTCTGTTGTCTTCTTGATTTTCTTGATGACCTTGTTTGGAGGAATTTTTTCTGCTCTTGAACTTATTATTAAATTCTAACGGTTAAATAACTGTTAGTTCCGCTGTTTGTATGAATAGGTTTTCTCAATTCTCCCGGAGCTTCCTCATCAACCTCAGCTGCTGCAGACGGGTAATGTTTTCTCTTCGGGGCTGTCGTTGATCAATATGATCCATTTGGCGTGCTGAATTGGATGTGCTTTATTTTCTTCTAGCTGACTGTAAATAATCCCATTGCAAAGTTTTTTATTATGAACGCATAGTGCCCTATGGATGCCTATATATGTTTGTGTTTTTGTCTTTATCTACACACGCATTTATCTGAAATGGGCGCATGCAGTCATGGATGTATCTACGTCACAATTCATATTTCTATTCACGGTCAGGTACGTTGGTGCACTGAAAAGTTCAACAGACGTGTCTACACGTAGCCATGCATATACTCGTTGTGTGCATGTGATGTGTGTATTTGTGGGGCACCCCACCATTTTTTGCATCTTTTTGTACTCGATTCACATTCTCTTATGACATTTTTACTTTAGAGTGCTTTTTTCATCTTAATTTCATTTTTTTCCAGTTTGCTCAACAATTGGAGCTTATTCAAAATGGCTCAACGCCTTGCCATCTGTCCTGCCTTCGTTAGTGGATATTCTCACGAGAGGCATGAGTTCATCTGAGGAATCTGCCGCGTCTGCATCTGTCGCATTTAAGTACATATGTGAAGGTATATTCCTTTGCCTCTATGGTACTTTTTGTTCCATATTTTTTTTGGTTTCTTATCTTTCTGGAAGAAATTATCAACATTGAAAAATTCTTGTTGACTGGATATCTCTACTTTTACTGAATATATAGTACTACTGATTACAGCATTTACCTAGGTAATATCGTCGCATCTGTGAATGTATCATAATGCTGTGTTTTTCATTTTCTTCTAGACCTCGATCGTGCCAAGATTATTTACTTTCCGCTAGTAGTTCAGGTTTTTTTCTTTGATATAGTGCCTCTGCAATATATCTGAATTCGCGGATTTCTCCATGGCCTCAAGAGATAAATTTATAGGCTCATATCTTGCCTTCTAGTGTTTGGGACACAGAGACTATAAGAAATTAAAGGAAGCTTTGGGATTCTAAGTCTGATAAAGGGAAGGTTGATCTAGCATGAGCCAGATTTCTCTGGGTATGATTGGCACTTTCGTTTGTGAGATGAATAGCCCTTTTTCCAAATGAAATCAATGTTACCACGTGTCAAAGTGTCGTTTTCTGGGGCGGTTTATATTTCTCTTCCTGTTTGGTACCATTCAAAAGTCGAATAACTTCCCTGAACATTTCTGATTCTTGTTTTTTCAGATTGCCGTGGACAGCTGAGTGGATCATTGGACGGTCTCTTCCACATTTACCATATTGCTATCAGTGGTGAAGGGGGCTTCAAGTTATCCACTGATGATTCTATGCAGTTGGTTATAGCTTTGAGGTACTTCAGTTCCAAAATGAGCATTTGAATTTCACCATTTTACTCTGCTTAACAACTCTTAAAACATAACACTTAATTAATTCCACTTTGAATCTTGCTCTCAAATTCATCATGGTAGATTATAATCTCAAATATCATCGGAATTATTGCCTTTTTCAGTCTATCAGATGCTTGGCATGAAGCTCGATTTTCAGTACGGTACCTTTTTCTTTAATAAGACGATTTTTTTTTTGCTCTTGGCTTAGTAGGCTTTTCAGAAGTATTTCAAAAAGTACGAAATTTAAATTACACAAGATTTAAATTTGAAGGAGACGTAATTCATGCCTTAACTAGAATGAGCTAATGTTTCTGTCACGGAAAGTCAAAGTGGATTTGTGCTCGTGTGATCAATGATAAAACGTTATGCACCTATGAAAGCAGTTAATGGTGCGGTTAACATAGAATGGTAATATTTCTTTTAAAGTAGAAAAAATCTTCACTCAGATTCTTTTTACTAATCTGGAAGTCATTCAGTGGGATGTAGAAAAAGACTGGCTTGCCCAATCCTCATAACGACGTTCTTGAATGCATTCAACCAAAACAATGACGAGGAGACTATATGATGAGTAAATGCAGCTTGATATTGTTCTACCTACCAGCTTGAACCTTGACCAGTCCGAAATTGATGGATCAGGCGCAAATATAACAATGACTGTTTGCTTGAAGGTTTATGATCTATTTCCAAATGTGTACCAGCATATGTCAGGAGATTGGTTGTTGCCTGAGGTTTAAATCCACTTCTTAAACCCTTAAATAAACAGGTGGATACCCATTTCTTGAAGGACTTTCTGTGCCTTCCTCCTTGGGATACCTCCTCGGATCGTATCAAATACCCATCTGTAAACAGCAATTGTAACAAAATGCATGCATAATCTGAAATTCGTTTACTACATCTTGAAACCTTTTCTTTTTTTTTTTTTGTAGCGCGCTTATTTCAGTACTCCCTACAGAGCACGCCAAAAAGGCAGTGGAATTATTGTGTCTCCCTGCCGTCGCTCCCTTAGAGGTTTGCCCCAAACACAAGGAACCTCTAAACAATGTGACTTTCTTATTGATCAGACACCCTTTTGTTCTTGCACAAGCAGAAGGTAACCCATGAAGCCGGGGGATCCCTGGAGCAAATCCTCGCGCGCCATCTCACAGTTCATATTGATAGGCTCGCCTGTATTTTTAGGTAAACATATGCTAATTATTCCATGCCATTTTTCCATCAATAGTACTGGAAATTGACAAGTTAAAAACTCCCATCAGGAATGTGAATCTCCCTGAAGTTGTGGCAGACACTATTCATAGGCTTTGGCCGATTTTCAAAGCCATATTTGACCGGTAATTCCCCCGCTGCTTGACTCCCTCATTGTGGATTCCTTGCTGCTTCCTGTTTAACTCTTTTATGCGGTCCAAAAATGTAGTCGGGCCTGGGACATGAGGACCATGGAATCTCTATGCCGAGCTTGCAAATATGCCGTAAGTCATTACAATTTAGCTTCATGCCCTTCCTGTATTTTCCTTCTTCATCCCAAGCTTGTAACAAGCATTTTATTCTCTTTTGAGATGAGAATCTACCTGATGCACTGAAGGTTGACTTCCCCGTCTAAAATGCTTAGTAGTTTTGCGTGCTGTGTTCCCGGCCCCTGTGGGACATTGATCTCCTCGGCCCAGGTTGAGATATCTGTCAGAATGCGGTAGGAATAAGCCTGATCGGTCTCAGCAGAGGTCTACCACCTTTTAGTAGCTATGTTGGAGGAACAAAAACTGATTTAAATCGTGCCTGATATTTCATCCAAAAATAACTCACGATGCTAATGCCAGAGAATAACTACAACGCATGAAATGGATTGCGGTACTTTCTCTGCATTCACCCTCTCCGTGTTTTTTTTTTTTTTTTTTTTTTTTTGGCTGAAGCTGAGGACTTCAGGAAGGTACATGGTAGTCACCATTGGGGCCATGCTTGAGGAAGTGCAGGTTTTATATCCTCAGCACAACCAGCCATGCTTCCTCTATCTTTCAAGCGAAGTTATAAAGGTGACCACAGGCCACTTGAGTCCTGCCTGACCCTGCGTACTCGTTTGTGGGCTTTTTTGTTTTTTTTTCTTTTCATACTGTTTAATCTTCGTTACTAACCAATGTCTGCTGCTGCCTGGGGCAGATATTTGGGTCAGACCCATCTTGTGCGAGCTACCTCCGGAGCTTGATCGAGGCGCTCTTCGGTCACACCACGAAGATTCTCACGTCAATACAAGTATTCCTTCAGAATTTCCATCTTCTCTTCAATCCCGGCCATGGTTGCTCACGCATAGGTCTTATGCTGGAATGGGTTTCATCTGGCGTTGCAGGAATTCACAGCAAGACCAGACTTGGCCGACGACTGTTACCTACTGGCATCGAGATGCATCCGATATTGCCCCGATTTGTTCGTCCCTTCTTCCATTTTTGCGTCACTAATCGAATGCTCGATGGTCGGGGCGACAATACAGCACAGGTAATCCCCATTTCTTCTCCTCCTCGTCGTTGTCGTAGTCTCCTTCTTAAGAATGCCCTCTGCAGGATGGTTTTCAAGCTGTTCTGCTCTCCTAGCTCGATGGCCGAAGCTATGACTATGAGAAATATCATCAGTCTGCCTGTTCCTTGTCTGCTGGGGAATTTTCTGCTTTATCAGCGCGTCAATGGTCATCATCATCATGCTAACCAACATCTTGACCTTGTTTTCTCTGCGCAGGGACGCCTGCAAATCCATATTGACCTTCTTGTCGGACGTTTTTGACCTCGCCAACTCTCCCGCCGGAGTAAAATACCGCCCGATCATCGACAGCGTCGTGCTCTCCCGCGGCGCGACGTTGACCAGAATCTTGATCGCCTCCATGGCGGGGGCGCTTCCTCCTTCCCGGCTCGAAGAGGTAATCCGTCAGCCGTCTCCGGACTGGAATCTGGCTCCTCCCTGATTCGCCGTCCTCTTGCAGGTAACCTACGTCTTGCTGGCGTTGACCAGGGCGTACGGTGCGAAGGTGTTGGGGTGGGCGAAGGAGAGCGTCGCGCTGATACCGGCGGCGGCGCTGACCGAGGCCGAGTGCTCCAGATTCCTGGAGACCCTCTCGGAGGCGGCGGCGGCGGGTTCGAACATCGCCGCCTTGACGGAGACCCTCGAGGAGCTCTCCGAGGTCTGCCGCCGCAACAGGATGGTTCAGGAGATCATCCAGGGGGCCTTGAGGCCTCTCGACCTGACCTTCGCGGCGGTCTCCTCCTGATCCGAGTCAACGGACCTCCCGGTCAATCTCTCTCTCTCTCTCTCTCTCTCTCTCTCTGTTTCCTAGATCTTTGGAGGGGTTTTGGCTGTACAGAGTTAGGAATTGTGCATTATTAATTTATTTTTGATCGTGCGGGGGCATCTATGAGGTCGTTTCGGTTGCTGTAAAATGGTGGCAGACGGAAGATTCTAAAATCCACGGGTTTCACACCTTTTCCGACGATCCAAACGTATCGGATTTCGGTATGAATTTGGCAATATCGGCGTGGGATTTTCTTGTTCCATCTCTTCCGACGATCCAAACGCAGGAGACCCGGCCCCATACCTCGGGGGAGAGACGGTCTCTATGTCCGCCCTTATGCGCGCTCACGTGCGTCGGGGCTTTGGGGATTGACATCTGAATCCCCCACGTGCTGGCTGCCCGCCTGCCCGCGTTGACCAGTGGACTCCCCCCCTTCCCCCTCCGGAAGACGACGATGCTATCAGCATGGCTTCCCTTCCGCGGTAAGTCCAATGTTTCTTTCCCCTGCCTCGCTTTCCTGTGGCTTCTGTCAGGAGGCTCTTCTCCTCCATCCTGCTCTTTCTCTCTTTTTCTACCTTGAGAGAGAGAGAGAGAGAGAGAGAGAGATGAAATGGCGTGGGTAGTTTGTTCTGAGAGTCTGCATCTTTTGGTTGATGTGTTTCGTTTAAGATATACAGTTCGACGCGCTCGGGAACACTGCACTGTTGGAGATCTCGGGTCAAGAACGGAGAGAGAGAGAGAGAGAGAGAGAGAGAGAGAGAGAGAGAGAGAGAGAGATTACTGTCGATAGTGGACGTGTGACTGTGTAAAGGGTATTTTTTCTCTCAAGCTTACTGGCTCCGGAGACTGAAAATTTCAGACTCGAAAAGATGTCGACCAATTTTTGAAGGCAAAGGGTTGGATTCGCAAACGATGGAATTCAGAAAATATGAAGTGATTTCCTCAAGAAACAGTTCGAATGTTCTTGTCGGGGGAACCCAACAAAAATCTGCCGTCTTATTGGGAGTCACAGGCAGGGGTGGAGGAGGAGAGCGAGCGAGCGAGCGAGCGAGAAAGAGAGAGAGAGAGAGTCCGTTTCCCCGTTCTGTTGCAGACTGAAGGGGTTGTACGAGATCCTCCGCGAGACTGGGCGGCTGTGCAGAGCGACTGCGGTCAGTCGGTCTTCGCCCTTTACGTGATGCCGATGCCGATAAAGAATTCCTCACCCGCACGCAGGCGGGTCTTCCCCCCTCTCCGCTCCCTGCACTTCCCTCTGCGGACAGACAGGCCAGGCCTACGAGAAGACCGTACGGCCAAGTCAAAGCCCAAGGAAAAGAGAGATAGCGAGAGAGAGAGATGACCCAATGGGGGACGATTCCCTATAGGAGAAGTAAGAACGGAAGCCGAGAGGCGGAGAGGAGCGAGACGAAGGGAGGGGGAGAGAGAGAGAGAGAGAGACGGCGGCAATTACGGGTGTGGTCTCTCCGTCCACCGACATCCCTCCGTACGCCGCCTCGTGGACCGCAGGTGGTGACCTCCGCCGCGCGCGGCGCCGACAAACAGGACGACCCTCCACGTGGGACGGCACGGGCGGCGGTCTGAACCCTGCTTCCCTTCTAATCACAATCTTACACCTCTGCGCGCGTAGACACAGGTATGGGGGGCGGGGGGGAGAGAGAGAGAGAGAGAGAGAGGAACGCGGATCGGAGTAGGCAGAGACAGCAACAGTCTCTTTGACAACTTTTCTTTTCCTGTTCTCTCTTATTTCACCATATGTGTCGCGAAGTGACCCAAAACATTTTGAGTTCTCGTACGGACTAGATTCTCTATCCCCGGTTGCTGTCCACCACCCTTTCCTACCTCTTCTCTCTTCACACCACAGAGAGAAAGAGCGAGAGCGAGAGAGAGAGACGGAGATGATGATCGGCACCACATGCAGCCTGATAGAACTGTTTTCAGAGGACAACTTTCCAGACCCGATACGTTACGAGTCAGAGATCTCAAGAGCTTGAGCGACCGGCGGTACACCCGGCCATACTTCCCACAGAGAACGGCATACATGCGTCGCCTTCATCGTCGCTTGGACACAGACGGAGAGAGGTTCCAGATTTCTCATCGCCGCGGTGCTTCTGACATCAATCGTCGCACCATTACCGCCGAAGATGAGAAGACCTTACGTTTGTGGAGGGAGTCCCCGAACCCAACGATTAACAGTAAACTGATCGAGGAAACGCGATGGATGTAAGGCCTTGAACAGGCACTGGCGATTCAAACGAGGAGGGTTCCTATATTAATGCCCTCTGACGAGTCACCCCTCACGTCAGTGTCCAAGGACTAGTGTCTCTCTCTCTCTCTCGCTGTGCAAAGCATTCCTGAGAACCATCCACACCTCTTCCGTGTATTGGAACGAAGAAGAATTCCTTACAAAGTCTCTTGGATCTTGACATGACCGGTGATGAATCCCTGTTTGTTTGGCATTCGAAGAATTCTTTCATCCCTGCTGGTCCACCGCCACGGGTTTAACCGGTTTAATCCGCAGTGCGTAAGCAACTCGCGTCAAGGAAACCTCTTTTAACATCCCTGAACAGTCCCGGGGTCATCCTCTCCCTCAAGAAAAGGCCTCTATTAGGTCAGTCTCGCGATGTTGGGAAGTAGAGAGTCTCATCTACTAGCTTATACTACTCTATGACGACAGGTTTGAATTCGGAAGGTCTTACAATTTCAGCGAGTATTAAAATTCTAGGGTTCATCCTCAGGCTGCATGAAGACAGCATTCGATCAAGCGAGAATAGAATGAGAATCAATTGGTTCTAAGTAAGAAGGCTAGAATTTTATACAATACATTCATTCATCAACCCAAATCTTGCAGTTTCACAATGGAATGCATCACCAGGAAATAGGGAGAAGAAAAAAACAACCGACCTAGATCGCTGCTGTCAGATACAGACCGGCGGAAACAATAACAGTGAAGCAGGGAGAGAGAGAGTTGATAGGCCAAATCTAGAAATTCACTATGGGACGCATCTGGGGGGAGATGGAAATAAGAGAAAAACAACAAACCCAGATTGCTGCTCCAACCGACAGGCTGGCGACAACAACAGTGAAGGGGAGATATGGAGAGAGAGGGACGCGCGGGTTGGGGGGACGTGGGGAGAGAAGAGAGAGAGAGAGAAAGAGAGGATTACTACAAGTACGCATTTACTCTGCTCATTTCCACTGCACTTGGAACATTTGTAGCCTTGCCTCCTTCCTCCTCGTCACAGAGGCCGGGCGGCGCGTACAAGAGCCTCTCTCTCTCTCTCTCTCTCAACTTTCTATAAAGGTTAACACTAAAGTGTACCGCCTTTCCCCTCAGAATCGGTTACGATTCCGTTTAACGGCCTAAAGCATCGTACTACAATCTTGAAGGCTCCCTCCTCTTCCGCTGGGATCACCTATTGGACAAACAACTTATATAAAGGCACAGGAGTAGAAAAGCAACTCATCCGAAGAATTTAACCTATCCGTGTCTAAACCACGATCCCTTTCTCCGAACTTAGACTTCATCGATATCAACTACTCAGTCCATTCAGCTCCGCAGACAAGTTGAACTACGGAGGAGAAGCGGAGGTAGAAGAGTTAGAACGGATGGAGCAAACGTCTCTCCGTAACTTTTCTTCATCTTTTTTTCCGATGCTCGCGTGAACCCTTCCATGAGCTTCGGCAAAAGTTCATAAGCTCTGCCTTTTCGTCTGCTCTGGGATGGCATTATCAGAGAAGAGCGGTAGTTTCTTCCAAATCTTCTCCGTTATTTGGTGATCGAGATAGCCGGAATGACAATCGGACAGAACGTCATCTGTAGCCCTTTCTTCCCGTCATCTACTACTTAGCTGAAGCTGTGATGATAAAACTACTCCTGGGAGGAATTTATTCAGAAGACGGGATCAGAATCACAAGATCGAGTGTAGTCGTTGATTATCAAGCCATTGGGAAAGGTTTTCCGAGTATTTCATGGAGTGCAGCTTAGGCTTTTTTCTTTCCTTCGCGAGCATTTGTCGTTTGCACCAAGATACCTACCGCCAGTCATCATAAACTCTAGATAATTCTCGATACGACAGTGGAAATTCCCTAAAATTACCTCCTAGTATTCGATTGAAATCCCAAGTTTCTCCTTCTGTCTTCTCCTCCCTTTCTTTCTCTCCTCGTCCTTTCTTCTCCTTCGTTTCTATGTTGTCGTCTCTCGCTGTAGAAGCCGTGCAAGACCTTTGAATAAGGTCGGCGATCCCCCCTACAAGGCATGAGATATCTACTTTAACGGCGTTGTTTGTTGAAGAAATGCTTCTTTTTTGTTTCTTGCTTGGCTCTGAAAGCATGCTCGAAACCCAATAAACGCAAGCAACACTAACCTCAGTTCTCTACGAAGGACTTGAGGTGGTTGATTAGTACTTCTTATTATATTCCTCTAGGTTTATTGAGAACGAAACTGTCCTTACGAATCATCGGTTATTGACGGTTTCCCGAGGACATTGAAATGAGTAGTAATGTTCGCAAATGAATTATGAGGGATTTCCAAGGATTAGATCTTCCCTCTGGATAACTTGCGACAGATTGGAATTTTCAAAGAATATGGTGATTTAATCACGAGCTGCGTAAGGGATCCAGAACCTGCGTATGACAAAGGCAGATGAGAAATAGAATAAAAAAGATAGAAAAAAAGACAGGATCACTCAAATTCCCAGCTTCTCCCATAATTATGTAGGATAAAAAATCCATTTTGAAGAAAGAATGATGCGTTATGATGAACATTTGATTGGACTTTCACGGAAGGAGACAGTCTGAGGATGGCTCCCACTGTTACCATTGAAAGCCCCTCGGAATGAAGAGCCATTACTCCTTCCTCGGCCGAAGAGAAAAACAGATCAAAGGGCCATGCTACCTGAGAATACCACTGCTACCATTCAAAGCCCCTTGGAATGACGAGCCATCAACTCCCTCCTCGACCCAAGAGTAGACAGATGGCGTAAAGAAATCTGGTGATCTCAAAGGGGGATCCCAAGCACCTGCCAATCGTGGAAAGGAACAGTTTCAGGGAATGATATGCTTATGCCCCGTGGAATTCTCGAACCTCTTGCACCACTTCTTCTCTAAAACTAACGTACACACAACAAATGCCTAAGAATTAATTTCCTCTAAGATAATCCTTTTATATCATCGCTTAGTTGTACCCTATTCGTAGATTAATCTAGATAGCAGCCTCGCATCCTTGATTTTAAAACTTCTAATTTTTAATATGGATCAACGAGAATGCAACTCATCAACTTCGAACGGGCTTATCTGTTCTTTAACACGATGTCCGTTATGGTCATCTCAAGAAAAATCTATACGCTGTAGAGGAGCATCATGGGCTTCTCATCTATTGTTGAAGTTCCTAAGTTTGTTTGCATTCATGCGGAGGAATGAGTTATGTAGTGCTTATACATCATCTACCATCAAGACAAAAATTATCGTC